CTTTCACGTGTATATGAGGTGACTGACAATACCATGACTTGGGTCCAGGTACACCTTAGTCCTCAAAGTGACATCTTTGCTGTTTAATACTTTACAAGAGATTGTGTACAGCAAATTTACCCAGTGCAGTGTCATTTGATTTTTAGACTGCTGCTTCCATGAGCATTGATCATGGATTCAAGAAAAATAAAATCCTTGACAACTTCCACCTTTTCTCTGCTTTTCATGATGTTATTTATTGGTTGAGTTGTGGGAATTTTGCATCCTTTACATTGAGTTGTAAGCCATACTGAAGACTGTATTCTTTGATATTCATCAGTAAGTGCTTCAAGTCCACTTTGCTTCTAGCAAGCAAGCCGTGTCATCTGCATATCACAGGTTGTTATTGAGCTTTCCTCCAACCTTGACGCCAAGTTCTTCTTCATATAGTCCAGATTCTGGGATTATTTGCTCAGCATACAGTTTGAATAAGTGTGATGAAAGGATGCAACCCTGGAGTTTACCTTTTCTGATTATAAGCAATGCAGTATCTCCTTGTTCTATTTAAATGACGGCTTTTTGTTTCATATACAGGTTCTGCATGAGCACAATTAAGTGTTCTGGAATTCCCATTCTTCGCAATGTTATCCATCATTTGTTATGATCCACATAGTCAAATGCCTTTGCGTAGTCAGTAAAGCACAAGTAAACATTTTTTTTGGTATGCTATTCTTTCAGCCAAGATCCATCAAACGTCAGCTGTGATGCCCCTCATTCCATGTCCTTTTCTGAATCCAACTTGAATTTCTGGCAGCTCCCTATTAATGTTCTGCTGCAACTGTTTTTTTAAATTATCTTCAGAAAAATTTTACTTGTGTGTGATATTAACAATATTTATTGTTCAATAATTTCTGCATTCTATTGGGTCACCTTTCTTTGGAATGGGAACAAATATGGATCTCTTCCAATTGGTTGGCCAGGTAGCTCTGTCTTCCAGATTTCTTGGTATAAACATGTAAGTGCCTCTAGTGCTGCATCAGAGCTGATTCCAGGAGTTAATGGAATAAGTTGTGTCCATTGTTGTTGTTAAGTGCCATCATGTCAGTTCTGACTTACAGTGACCCTGTATAGGGTTTCCAAGGACCAGCTGGTGGGTTTGAACTGCCGATCATGTGGTTCACAGTGCAGTGCTGTTCCTTTCTTCTTCAGTTGTTTCAGCTTGAGAAGTGCTGATCATGTTCTTTCCTTTTGGGAAGTCTGTGCACATTTCATTATAATACTTTACTTTGTCTTTTTGATCCACCTTTTGGAATTGTTTCTGTTCAGTTCTTTTACTTCCTCATTTCTTCCATTTGCTTTAGCTACTCTATGTTCAAGATCAAGTTTTCAGAGTCTCTTCTGACATACACTTGGGTATATATATATATTTTAAATAACCTGTTGCTTTCTTCTTGTTCTTGGTCTCATAAGTCTCTGGGTTTTGGTCATTAGTGTTAAATTCATCAAATCTTTTCTTGAGATGATCTCTTTAGTTCAGGTGAGATACACTCATCATTGTATTTTGGCTCTTGTGAACTTATTTAAATTTCTTCAACTTCAGCTTGAACTTGCATAAAAGCAATTGATGATTTGTACCACAGCTGGCTTCTGGCCTTGTTTTGGCTGATATTGAGCATCTTCAACCTCTCTTCCTGCAGGTGTAGTCAATTTGATTCCCATTTTTCCATTTGGCAAAGTCTGTGTGTAGAGTTTTCATTCATGTTCTTGAAAAGAGATATTTGCAATGAAGAAGTTGTAGGTCTTACAGATTCTATCATGCAATCTGCAGCATCATTTCTAATACTAAGGCTATATTTTCCAACTACGGATCCTTCTTCTTTGTTTTCAGCTTTTGCATTCTAATTACCAGTAATTATCAATGCATCTTGATTGCATGTTTGATCAAAATCAGACTGAAGAAATTGGTAGAACACTTACTTCTTTACTGGCTATGGTGGTTCATGTGGAAATTTGAATACTAGTCATATTAACTGGTCTTCCTTGTAGGTGAATAGATATTATCCCAGACAGCATTGTACTTCAAAATAGATCTTCTTTTTTAAATGTTCTTTTTAACAATGAATGTGATATCATTCCTTTTCAATTTGTCATTCTTGGCATAGTAAACCATATGTTATCTGATTCAAATGGTCAATACCAGTCTGTTTCACCTCACTAATGCATAGAATAGTGATCATTACACATTCCATCTCATTTTTGACAACTTCCAATTTTCCTAGATTCGTAATTCATACAGTCCACATTCTAATTATTAATGAATGTTTCCAATTGCTTCTTCTCATTTTGGGTGTGCCTCACAGCAAATGAATGTCCTGAAAGCTTGGCTCCATCCACATTATTAAGGTCAACTCCACTTTGGGGTGGCTGTTCTTCTCAGTCATATTATGAGTGCCTTCCAACCTGAGGGACTCACCTTTCAGTACCAAACTAGATAAGGTTTCATGGTTATTTATAACATTTACTGGGGCTAATCATTCAGAAGTGGACCACCTATTTCTTCTTTCTAGTCTGCTCTTACTCTGGAAGCTCCATGCCTGTCTACTGTGGGTGATTCTGCTGGTATTGAAAACACCAGTAGTGTCCAGTAGCATAGCAACACACAAGCCACTACAGTATGACAAACTGACAGGCATGTGTTGTTGTTGTTGTTATGTGCCGTCGAGTCGGTTCTGACCCATAGCGACCCTGTACAGGGTTTCCAACAGGCATGTGTAGTTGCTATTAATTGCAGTCCTTGCTAAAATATTTAAATATAGGGAATCTTATACAATAAAAGTTAAAACTTTTTCTCTCAGCAGATTCTCAAAAGGATTTGGAAACTGTCCCATCAGTAAATTCTCAGGTACAGAAGACTACAATTACAGGGAATGCCGCCACCGAAGATCAGACCCCAAACCCTGCCTCTGGTCTTAACAAAGACCACCAAGGAGTAGTGGTAATAGGTCCGGGAAGTGAAGATACAGGTGATAATTCAGAAAGTCCAGATGAAACAACTGATGGGAAATATCCAAAGGATGAAAGAGAACATGAGACCAAGTGGAGTTCTCAGGATGGAGAACAAGGATGCCACTTCCATCCAGGCAGTCCTGGTGAAGGACCCTTGGATGCAGATCCTCACCGTTCTCCCAGTGAAAAGGTAGTACGAGCAGCTGCACACCTAGGGAGCAGCTCCGCAGCCCTCCTTGGGGGTGTGAGTTTCAGAACCGGATCTTTGCAGGAGCCACCTGCTCCAGACTCCCAGGATGCCCAGAGTTCCGGTCCTTCCAGCATGGGACTGGAGAGCCAGGACACACTGAGGAGGCGACTGGTGGCCCCAGGTGAGAGAACCCACTGAATGACTATCCTGATTTGCATTACTCTGCTGCTGAAAACCTCTTTCTTTTCAGAGAGATTCTGCCTTTCTCACACAGGATTAGAGTAAAATAGAAATTTAATTTTTTTTATAAATAGAGATTCTGTGTGGCCTTGGCATTCCTTGGCTCTGCATGGTTTCTACTAATATGTAGAGGTTTTGCATGTGCCATAATATGTGGCTAAAGCAGTCTTTGGTGCTGCACACAGGTAGTCTTATGCCTAGCCCTAGAAACCTGCTATAGATTTTCCCCACTTGCATTCACCATTATCTACCTGCTGCTATAAGGAAATGTGTTCCTCAGGGTTTATGGTTACCTAACTGCTTTCCCTGGGGCTAGCCCTCCATTTGCTTCCCAATAGGCATGCTGGGGACTCTTGATCTGTGGAGGGGTAAGCCCTAGAAAGAATTGCTGAAGGGGGTGCCCAGTAACTCCCTGCATTAGACTGCCCCTGCTCCTTTGTTCTTTGCCTCCTGTGTTCATCTGTCCCTTCTTGCTGTCTGGAAGGCTCTTGAGAACCCACCTTTTTCTCTTCCATACGGCCCTATCCCTCCCTCCAATGATCTCTCTCCTCCTTTCCACCCACTCCTATGACGTCTCATTGAATAAATGTGACTTTTGTAGACCATATTGTTATTGGTAAGTGCCATCAAGTTGGTTACCACTCATAGCGACCATGTGTAGGGTTTCCAAGAAGTGGCTGTTGGGTTAGAATTGCCGACCTTCCTGTTCAAACTGACCTTGCAGTCCAGTGATTAACCTAAAACGTCACACCAGGATCCCATAGTCTTGGCAATCCTCTATAAGGTTGTTATGAGCTAGAATTAACTTGATGGTAGTGGATTTTATAGTTTATAATAGGTTCACAGTGTTATACAGTTCCTGCATTTAAAAAAACAATGTTTTTCTACTTACAGTGAACTGTGTAATGGTGAAATGTTGATGTCGGATAATGGTGTATAAGGTCCGTTCTGTGATTAGATACATAAAATTATTTTTTTGGTGCAGTATGGATAAATGGACTCTCCTTTCTAGTATGTGAATCTACTCCTCCCTGCTAATAGGGTATGCCCTTTGAACTAGTTTTCCAGTAGTGGCAACACTCATTTTCACTATTTTGAGATAGTTAACCAGAGTCGAGCACCGGTCTAGTCTCCAGATGTGTCAATTTAGAGTGCTGCAAAATAGTGCATTTGTTTTCTCCCAGACATTTTTTAATTGACCTGGATTTTTCATAATTTGTTAGTAAAATTAATTTTTCTTGCTTTGTGTACTTCCTTCAGTAGGCGTTTCAAAGTGGATTTATAAGCTGTTTTGTAACTATACAGTCATAGCTCCTGTCTCTGAATGTAATGCCTCTGTTAATTGTATAAGAAGCCTTGGCAGCACAGTGGTTAAATGTTCGACTGCTAACTTTGTGGGAGAAAGGTGCCGCTGTTTGCTTCTATAAAGATTTACAGGCTTGGAAATCTTATAGAGCAGTTCTCCTGTAGGGGCTCCAGGAGTTGGAATTCAGCTCAGCTGCAGTGAGTTTGCTTTGCTCTTGGTTGCTGGTATATTTGAGCGTCTTGAGGAGCCATGTGAGACTTGAACACTGGAATTAGAACATCATGATGTAAAGATGTTGAATTCTGTAAACAGCTGACAGTTCTTAAATCCCTTCCTGATTTTGTAAATGTTGGCGAATCACGTTTTTGATGGGTTTGGCTGCAGTATCAGAATGCTTGTGTCTTTGATCTTGATGTAAGGACCAGCGAGGAACTGTGAATGTGGCAACATTCCCCATCAATGAATTTCACAGCACTTCATTTTATGCTTCTAAGCAGAATCAAACTAATTTAGAGCCTCAAGGAAAAGACAGGGAAAACGTTAGCATTGCCAAAATGAGAATTTTGCAACGTATAGATATCGTCTCAAATAACTCTTTGGTTTGATGAGAGAGAGGTGGAGCGATGCACATATGGTCCCCAGTGTGCTGATTCAAAATAATAGTGTTCTTTTCCTTCACAGAGGCTGGAAGTCAGCTAGAAGCACAAACAATGGAAGAAAACGAAAAGAAAACGCAGGATACCAGAAGAAAGATGTTTAGATATTTGGGCCTTTGTGGTGAGAACAAACCTATTTTCAGTACAATGTTGATGTACATTAGAAATCCTCAGTGAGCAGTACTTAGACAACTGGCAGGTTTAAATAGTTTTAACTTTGTGTTAGCATGTTTTCTGTTTAAAGATGTTTGATAATAGTAGTAAAATAGAGTAATCGAGTTTTACGAATTGTTCCCTTCAAGAGCTGACAGATACTTTACTATACTTAACAAAATGCAATTTCTCACATTAGAAAGAGCTTTTCATAAAATCACCTTTTCAGATAGAGAGTATAGGCACTCTCGTTTTATTTTATTTGCTTTTTTAATTGAAGATTTGTGGCAAGTCTTCATCAAGCGAGTCTCTCAACAGCATTTCCCAACAGCAGATGCTCATTTCATGTCTGTGTCACATTTTGGCAATTTTCACAATATTTCAAACTTTTTCATAGTGCTGTCAGTACGGTGCTGTAGGATAAACACTGAACTGCCAACTGCAAGGTTGGTGGTTCAAACCCACCAATCGCTAAACCCTATACAGGGTCACTATGAGTTGGAACTGACTTGAGGGCACTTAACAACAACAGTAACAACATTCCACACTGAATAGACCACAGTCTAGTGTAAGCATAACTTTTATATACCCTCGGTCATGTGACTTACTTTAGTGTGATATTTGCTTTATTGTGGTGGTCGAGGACCAAACCTGCAATCTCTCTGAGGTATTATTAGCTTCTCAAGTGGCATTTTTGAGTTCTGTCCCTTAGGAAAAGAATAGTTTGTATAGATATTTTGAGAAGATGGAAGAATATCCTGATAGCTCATTCTGAATCACATTATTATTGCAACAAATACATACACTTAGCTTTTACCTTTTAACAAAGATACTGTGTCATCAGTCATTAAGTCTGAGAAGAAGTTGATGAAAAGATATCTCTAATAGACTTTAATACAGAACTTTTAGATGAGTTAGGAAAAAGAAATGCACCAGTGCCAGTGAAATATGATAGTGCCTCTCCTCCATTTCACTGTATCCCAAGCTTTGTCTCTACTCATATTTTTCTAATGTTCTCATTCTCTGACAGGATACATCATTTTTGTCCTTCTGGCCACGGCTCTGTGTATTTTCGTGCTAAGTGCTATTAGTAGCTACTATTTTTCTCAAGCTCAGCATGTGCACAAAAATCCAGCTTTGGATGCCTTCTTGGCTCATTTCACTCAACTAAAGGATAAATTCCCCGGCCAGAGTTCCTTCTTGTGGCAGAGAGGACGTAAGTTTCTACAGAAGCACCTCAATGTTTCCAATCCCTCAGAGCCAGCCACCATCATATTTACAGCCGCTCGCGAGGGAAGAGAGACCCTAAAGTGCCTGAGCTACCACGTTGCAGATGCCTATACCTCCTCCCAGAAAGTCTCTGCCATTCAGATCGATGGGGCTGCAAGAACCTTACAGGACAGTGATACAGTCAAGCTGTGGGTTGACCTTGAACTGAGTTCTGGATTTGAGAATGGCCAGAAAGCTGCTGTGGTACACCGCTTCGAATCCCTTCCTGCTGGCTCTACCTTGATCTTCTACAAGTACTGTGACCATGAGAATGCAGCTTTCAAAGATGTGGCCCTGGTCCTGACTGTGCTACTCGAGGAGGAAACACTGGAAGCAAGTGTAGGCCCAAGGGAAATAGAAGAAAAAGTTAGAGATCTGCTCTGGGCCCGGTTTACCAACTCTAACACTCCCAAGTCCTTCAACCACATGGACTCAGACAAACTTAGTGGTCTGTGGAGCCGTATTTCCCACCTGGTTCTGCCTGTCCAGCCGGTGAAGAACATAGAAGAACAGGGGTGCCCTCTAGAAAGCTAAGCACAGAGTTGGTTATAGAAGACATGGTTTTTTTTTAAAAGTCAACTTAAAGGTGGTTGATAAAGGATAGGAAAAGTAAAAGTGAGCTTATTTTAGAAAAAAATGTTCATTTTTTACTTTTTATAATATTTTTATAATCAATGTGTGACAAAGCTAAAAATTGACCTGATTTTCCCCCTTACCTTTCAGCTTGGCATAGATGAGTATGAGGATTTTTTTTAAACTCTATAATCTAGCAACAAAGTATTTGCACAGGAAGATATTCTTGCTTCCCAGAGTTATTACAAAGTGATTTTTATTTTTTATTGTTTTGAGTAAGACTGTAATGAAGAGCCTTGTTGATAGTGTTTGGACTCAGAATAAAGCAATTACAGTTCTGAATCAATGATAATTTTTAGAATTTTTCTATCACACATTAAATATTTTTAAAATTTGCTTTAATAATGGTGTTGTGTGATTACATCTTGTACTATACTTGCACTTTTGAAGAATATGAAAAAAGGAAACATGAATCAAACCATTCATTACTTACTTAAGTATTTACTGTCAGGCACTATGCTTTTATTCCGTTAATGAGCTGAAGTCAAAATAGCTGTACTCAAGAAATGGTTTTTTTTAAGTGGGGAAATTGTTTACAATCATTGGAAAGGAGGAAATTCCAATTGGCTCTGTCTTAACTTCAGCTTTCTCAAATGATTTAGAGCCATGATTTTCAAACTACCTGTACTCCCTCCCCTTTGAGTGACAACCATTCAGATATTGACTATTTCATAAGATTTCATTGGAACAAAGAGTTCCACTGATAATGAGGTTTGAAAACCACTGATTAAGTGGAAAAGCATCTTAGAAGATTAGGAAGTGGGTTGAAACAAATGAATGTATTAAAACTTAGGAGTAGGAAGAGTGAGGGTGAAGTATAGGTTTATTGTATAGAAGTGCTGCTTATGAAAGATAAAGACTGCAGATGAAAAGCAGAATGTATAAATAAATGTACTACCATATTCCTGGTGCTTTTTCTTTTCAGTTTCTCTTCATCATAATTTGTTCCCCTGAATGGAATGTTATAATTTTTTAGAATGACAGTTTGAGTGCCCTTTAAGCTGATGGATTTTAATAACCAATTAAATTGGTGGTGTTAGAGTGTTGCTGAGTCCCATTCTGACTCATAGTGACCTTGTATAGGGTTTCTGAGGCTATAACTCTTTATGGGAGCAGAAAGCCTCATCTTTCTCCCTTGGAAAGACTGGTGGATTCAGACTACTGATGTTGTGGTTAGCATTCCAGCTCATAACCCACTACACAACTAGGGTGCCTATCTAATAATTGTTGTTAAGTGCCTGTGAGTCAGTTCTGATCCATAGTGATCTTGTATAGGGTTTCCGAGGAGTGGCTGGTGAGCTTGAACTGTTGCCTTTGTGGTTCAAACCGACTTAGCAGTCCAGCACATTAACCCACAGCACCACCCCAGGATGCCAATCTAATAGTAGACCTTATGTTTTATATGGGCACATTGGCATAACTTTACAAAACTTCATTTGCTTTGCAGTAATGGAACATTATATAATGCAGCTCGTTTCCTGGACAGTTAGTTGGAAGTACTATTGTTAAAAATTAAAGAAATGCCAAGAGGTGTTTTACTTACTGAGAGGAAAGAGACTGGTTGGTAGATTCTCAGAGGTAGTAATGACCAATGTTAGTGGTTGGACCATGTTCTATGATTGTAGCAAAAACAGAAAACAATAATTATGGAGACAGTAGCTTTTTATTTGCATATGAGTTCTGAAAGCAGCAGTCTAGTACAGTGATTGACCCTCAGCTCACAAATGGTCTATTCCATTACAGAGCATTCCGAGGAACTATCCTGGAATGTTTCCACTAGGTTTTGGCCTCTCCTGCTTATATGAGAATGTGTGTGTATATATATGCTACCCCACCAGTCACTCCATGAGAGAAAGATGTGTTTCCATTAAGGTTACAACCTTTGAAACCCTATGGGGCAGTTCTACTCTGTCTTGTAAGTCGGAATTGACTTAATGGCACATAACAATAACGAAAGCATGTACATGAGGGTCCATCTAAAAAGTTTGTGGAAAATGGAGTGAAAAGATAATGGGATTTTCCCACAAGTTTTTTGACGTGCCCTTATATATTTAAGAACCCGTGCCATGTGATTAAGATATGGAAGCGTTTTAGGAACTAATAATAAGACATTGGGATCTTTACTGATTCTTTAAAAGTGATCCCAAAGACATTTGGAAGGAATCTAATTGGACATACTGCCCACAGGAAGAACATATAAATCTCTCCTAACCAACACTTTAAGTTGTGCACATTTGGGTGTGAGGGCATATCTAAAGGAGCAAATTGTATTTGGAAATTTATGAAGGAATCTTCCAATAGAGTTAAGAAAAGACCTGAACCAAAAGTTAAAGCCTAGTAAATAAAATAATTAATGTCAATTCAGTATAAGATTAGAGAAAATGGAAGACGACTCTGTATAGCATATTCATGTGTTTTGTATATATTTCTCAATCATCAACACTAGCATCACATCACACACTAAACCAGTGGTGCCTTATAGGACTGAAACATTGGCCTGCTGACCTGTGCTACCTCAAATCTATACAGGAACCAACATGAAATGTGCATATCCAATCTCTGGCAGTGACTCAGATCATAGTTGATACCAAGATTCTTGTTTCTCCATTCAACTGAATATAGTTTGTTTGTTTTAAATAATTTCCTTTCAGTATAATTTAGAAAAATTAATTTCCCAAAGTCACAACTTTAAGAAGAAATTTGTTTAACCTTTGTTAAAAATGCTTTTTCTTCTATGTATGAGTACCATCAACTAGTTGTCTGTCCACTAATTCAAAAATCATTTTTAAAAGAACCAATATATTAGGGAGCTCTGGGTCTTCTTGTAAGATGACAAGAATGAAATGATTGTTTTAAAAGCACAAAGCCATATACATATTTTAAATGTTCAAGTAATTAAAATCAATGATCCTGATGTACTTTCTTATGTTATTTTCTGTTATTATTGTTATTTTTTAATGTCAGCTTTTACAAGTATCCTGTGGTATATCTTTCATTACTGTAATGGACAATTTGCTTAATTGACTTAGAAAGATAATTTCTGTGATACCTAAGCACCATTTTGTAATGATTATCATGGAACAACTTTCATTGCATAATGTAATGTTACAAATCATTTCTTAGTACCCGAGTTGTAGAAACAATTGGTGGAACAAAGAACAGTCTCTAGACTGAGAATTCATATTCCCTTAGGGTGAATTTTAGGTTTGTCAGTTATTTTCCAGGGATTGGCAGAGGAATTCCAGGCGGGTTCATATCACTACAGGTAGTAATGCTATTTGTTTCTATTTCTGGTTTGTTTGTTTTTTTAATCAATCCATTTGGGAGCCTCCCAGATTATGATGGGTGGTTAGTGAGGTGCAGCGTTCCTGTGACTCATCATTCTCTCAGTTAGTCACTCAGTTGAACAGTCATAGAGGTGGGTTTGACCTCTTACACAGTTTCACAGTATTTGATTGGTATTTTTAATGTGTTAAAGACAGGATGCATAATGAGCAACAATGTTAAAATGTAACAGGCACATAAGGCATGTCACAGGGATGAGGACTCAGCAAGATGACCTTCGTATAGATCTGACCAAAGTTTTTATGTAGCATAGGAAGGTCTCTAGTGTTTTGAACACTAATGGCAAATAATAAAGTTATTATAACTGATTTCACTGAACAGGAATAAAGCTTATGTTCATGCACAGTTTATTTGTGGAAAAGTACTTTCAAGTAACAACATGAAATCTTTTATCATTTGAAAATAAAGCATAACAATTATAAAAATAAACCATCTTTGTAAAGCCCTTGTTCAATATATTTCATAATGCAATGTGTTAAAATGGCATGGTGGAGATGTTTGACCTCCTCTAACTTCACAAGGGGGAGAGAATCACCATCAGCATCAGCCCAAGCCTGGTTCCTGTGAAGCCAAGGACAGACATACTTCCTTTCGCCAACCTTATTACCAGTTCTCACACCAGCTATCCCTCCCACGGCACTCGACTTCTCTGCTGGGATTGATCATATGTTGGAACAGCCACACAGACAATATTTGTGATACGGGGTTTATTAGGGAAGTAACAGATTACAATTCAGGATCAGGAATGACTCTTTAGTCAGAATAGCTTCTTCTCAGCCATACCCACAGGCAAACCTCTCCCTGGCCATCAACCTCTCAGCCCCTTGGTCCTCATGGGCTGACCTGGTCTCTGCTCTGCTTAGACAAGTATTCAAAAGCTCTTTAACTCCACCAGTAAATGCCCAGAGGCACTCTACTCAGTTGGCTAGCCTTCTGCTTGAAGTCACTCAGCTCTCTCATTCTATGGCTCTGCTAGTTTAACTCCACCAAGTACCTGGAGGCACTCTTTCTGCCAGCAAGCCTCATGCCCAAAGGCACTCAGCTTTCTTGCCTGTGGGCCTGGAAGTCTACCTAGCCATCTCCTTTCAGTCTCCTGGTTCTGCTGCCTCTCTGCCACTGCTTCTTACTGACTCTTACCATCTCCAGGGTTACAGCTCTCTGCCTCTTGGGTCTAGGAGGTTTTGAGTGCAGAGACGCCAGGTCCAAACAATGTGCTCCACTCCCATCCCTTCTGAACTTTGTCCTTAGGTAAATGGTGTTGCCCTTTTGATCTTGAATGATTGACCATTCCATGGTGAGTATACTTTACTAGTATTGTTGTCTCCTGTGTATACACCTATCTACTGCTTGGCCTGGTGCTGTGGGTTAATGCGCCAGACTGCAAAGCCGTTTGCACTACAAGGTCAACAGTTCAAGCTCACCAGCCACTCCTTGGAAACCCTATACAGGGTCGCTATGGGTCGGAACCGACTCAATGGCACTGCACAACAACAATAACAACACTGCTTGGGTAAAAATGGAGCCATGAGGGTGAGTTCTGTTCCAGACCTGAAGGG